TTTCTCATACAATAACCTATTACATTATGTGAAAACATTTTATTACATTGAAAAATTATTATTACATTATGAGCTCAAGATTTTATTACGTTTTGAGAAAATTATTACATTATGAACATTTTATTACAATAATAATGTAATATTTATTACATTATGTGCAGTTATTACATTATGAGTTGCTACAAGCGCGGTTGGTGTTGGGACTCTGTTCCACCACTGAGGAGCATGAATTGAGGAATTGGGTATAAGGAGAAACTCTTAATGTGAACAGAAGGGAGCGCTAGTTGACCAGAAGTGTCTGATCATAGCAGTTTATTTGATGACTGTACAGTGACCACTGACAAACCAGGATCATTCAGCTGATAGAAATAAGGTCAAATGTCTTTGCTGACAGACAAGTTTCTGAAAACCTTCTGGACACCAAGAACATTTTCTAGTTCAGTGGTCAAAACATAGCCTATTTGAAATCACACTTGTTATGTACGTATGAATTAAAAAATTGGGACAATATTTTATTTTAATTTACATTTTTTTTTTATTTGATGACTGTACAGTGACCACTCACAAACCAGGATCATTCAGCTGATAGAAATAAGGTCAAATGTCTTTGCTGACAGACCCAGCTGACAGGTTTCTGAAAACCTTCTGGACACCAAGAACATTTTCTAGTTCAGTGGTCAAAACATAGCCTATTTGAAATCACACTTGTTATGTACGTATGAATAAAAAAATTGGGACAATATTTTATTTTAATTTACATTTTTTTTAAAGTTGTTATAGTACATACTTACATATGTACATACATTTCAGGATATGATTAATGCTTGGGAATAGTCACTTTGGATCTAAAATAAACTGCTTTCAAAATATGGCTTTCAAAAAAATAAAAAAAAAAATAAAAATTGGTCTCTTGGCAAGGAGAGTGTAAGTTGAGCCACATGAGATTAAACTGCTATGCCATTAATTATACTAAAGTAAAATTGAAATTTTTAAGCTCATGATATATCAAAGGAAGAGAAATTCTATAAAAATGACTTCTTAAAATCTATGTGTGAGCCTTGTGATGGACTGGTCATCCATCCAGGGTGTTTCCCCGCCTGTGGTTCAAGACGCTGGGGTAGGCTCCAGCTCCACACGACCCTATCAAGGATAAAGCAGTTTGGATGGTGGAATGGATGGATGGACGACTTCTTAAAATATTTATTTAAAGACAAAGTTCACAACTTTGAAGGCATTTTTAAATGATTTAAAAATTTCAGAACAAAATAACGTTCTAATTAAAGGAAAAAAAAAATCCAAACAAAGTCAAGTTAAAAAAAGAACTAAATAAAAAATGTTTGGTCTAAAATTAATGAAATATAATGTAGAATTACAGTAAAACAATAGCCTACTTTATAATCATAAAAAGGGTCGCTGCCTCAACTTATGGCCTTAATAACCAATTATTTCATGGGCGTGTCAAGCTGACCTTATAACTGATTTTAATACAGTTAAACAGTCGAACAAACAATAAAAAGTAGCTAGTAACCATTGAAAACAGCAAAAATATCACAAAATTTAAAATTGAAGTAAAAAAAGTATTATACCAAAATTGTGACTTTTTTCAAAAACACGTTACAAAAATTAAAATTAATATGAGAATATATGATAAATAAAACAGTTTAACAAACACGTTAACGTTTTCTAATTTTATTTTATTTTCCTTTTCACAAACTGTGGATATTAGTGATGTTCGATTCTTGAACGAATCGTTCTTTTGAGCCGCTTCTCAGGAAGTAACCGGTTGAGCCGGTTCACAAAATCGAACTGAATCGAACTTTAGTTCCGGGTTGATGACCTAAAACGCACAGCCGAAGTCCGACTCAAAAAGAACCGAATTCAACTAACTGTCGAAGTTTGCCGAGAGTTACTGAGGACTCAAGAAGAACCAAATGAGCTGGTATAGTGCCGAAATTTG